TCATTAACATGGTCGTGACTCGTGCAGAAGCGCCCAGCGGCAAAGAATTCTAGTGCCGGTGCAGCTTATCCTTGAGCTTCTGGCCGATGCTCTTCTTGTCCTTTTTGTCGCCGGCGCCGCCCGTCTCGGAGCTGGCGTCCGGCTGCTGCTCGCCCACCTTGGAGGCGCCGTGCATGCCCTTCTCTTCCATCAGGCCTGTTTAAACCCATGTAAGCAACCGACTTGCCGTCTGACTCGAACCTATAATGAAGCGGGCCGATTGGATGATTTAGGGAAAAAGAAAGAAAACTTACGGTCAGCCTCCCGTCCGGCGCCGGGCTTCGTTGCATCGAAGTCGCCGCCGTCCGCCTGCAGCCCGCTGGTCTTGACGTACTGCTCACCGGTGCCCTCGCCGGTGCTCTTCGCGCCGGGGCCGCTCTCGTCCTCCTCCTGCGGGGCGTCCTTGCTGCTGCTGTCCGCGGGTGCAGCCTCCGTCTTGTTGTTGCCGGCGTCGCCGCCGTGCTCGCGGGCGACCTCTTCGATCGGCTTGGGGCCGGGTCCGTCCAGCTTCTGGGCCTCGTTGGGTCCGTCCTCGGCGTCGTTCACGTCCGTGGGCGCCGACTTGGGGTTCGTATTGGGGTCCTCGGGGTCCCGCACGTCGTTCTGCTCCTTGGTGGTGTCGCGCGGCACGCTCTTGGCCTTCAGATCAGTAGACGGGTTCTGGGGTGTGTCCTCGGCCTCGGCGGCCGTGCCGGTTTCCTTGGAGAACTCGGCGGCTTTGGTGTCAACGTTAGACCCGTTGGTGGTCTGGCCAGTGGTCTGGTCAGTAGTCTCGCCGTTGGTTTCCGCCTTAGCAGCCTGGGCTTTCGGGTCCTCTGATTTGCGGGTTAGTACTCTGGTAGACTAATGTGGATTGTTTGTAGTGGCTGGATGCTCGTACCTATGTTGCCAGCGTCGTACGGCTCGCCCTTGGAGGTGTCGCCGGTCTGACCAGAGATGGGTTCTTGGGTTTGATTGCTCTCGCCCCATACAGCCTTAGTGGCGGCGGAAGCTAGGTTGTTTATGGTCTCCATGGTGGAAATTGGAACTATAGATGCGTCGTATGGTTCTACTGGTTGGTGGATGTAGGTAGTTTTGCTTGGCAGGTTGGAAAGGATGGAGGATGGAAGTCTATTCTAATCGTTAGGTCGTAAAAGGAGTCGTATAAATCTGGGGAAACAAGAAATAGCCAAGCACGGGTGGTAGGGCAGGTCTTGGGTAGATTATTATATGGAGGATCACGGTGACATGTAGGGCAGAAGTGGGCTGCCTCTGACGTCTTTCATGATAGCTACGGCTATTTCCCGGTATGCAGGGTAGGGGAATGGGTATTCGCTAAGGTTAGGACGGCACGAGATGGAAAGGAACAAAGGGTTCCTTGCAAACCGCATATCGCACCTTACGCCTTACCTTGCACTTTTGTCCTGCCAAGGAACCTACTCTTCGTTTCCTGGGCTTCACCGGCAAACAACATGTGGCTTGACGACATCGACTTAGGCTGAGGAATTGGGGCATCGTATTGGTGGCTACCGGTCCTATTACACACGCTGACACGGAAGCCATGTGCCACAACTGAGGAGATGGGTACTAAGGACCTTGTATTGATCTCGATCTTCAGAATGGGGGACGCCAAACGAATAATCCTGCCAATGAAGGACAATGAAGAACCCTTACGCACTCAATTCGGTAAGAGGAGATGCTCTCGTGGAGATGTGAGTGGCTGAAGCTAGGTTACCTAGGTACCTAAGGTAAGGTGGGGTTGAGGGGCAGCTGTTGAAAGGAGATGAGAGATGACGTTGGTGGGGTCAAAGGGGTTACCTAGGTATCGACGTCATCGGTCAAACTTCGTCGCGTTCTCCAAGGCCGGGCCCGTTCTCCATTACTTCGGGGTTAAGGTCCCTTCATATTTCCACTTTGGTAGGTACCTAGGTACCTAGCTTGCTTGCTCGCGTTTCACAACTTTAGGTAAATGACGAAGGCCGCTCCAAGTACTTTAGGTATGGACTATGGGGAGTCCCGATACCATCCGGCCGGGAGACCTAGGGCTTCAACATACGCAAGCGCGGCTACTGGAATCGGGCCTTGATTGGGAGACAGAACCATGAGAGTGAACGTCTAGGCAGGTTTTTGCACCCCATTGCCGTCAACTGCGGCGCAATTCGGTCTATTATGCCAAACAATACGGGAAAACACGTAAGCTCTTGAGAGTACTCGTTTCATTCACCTCGTACGAGGTGCGTCAGAGTTTGACAATCACAGTAATACATATCAACTCCCATCTATATGTATGCCTAAGGCAATCTGTCAGATTTCCAATACTTGTCAGGAGTTCGTAATGTACATGATAAATAACCCCGATGGCATCACTATAGTTCATTCCTGAATCACTCACTCAAACCTCCTCTGCTTTATAAGTATTGAAAGGCACTTTCTTTGGGAAACATGGCCACCACTTATAGTAAGAAAGAATGTTCACTTTGCTACTTACATCCAAACTACTTACAAGTACCACTTGGCGAAAAGGCTTAAACGCTTGGAGGGCTTTTCGTGATAGTGATATCTTACGAAAGCCGGCTGGTTCGAATCCAGCGGTGGACAGCTTTTTGGAAGCAGTCTCCCTTATCCAAGGTTACCTAGCATACATAGCTGTGTTGATAGGTAACAGTGCGTTTTGAGAGATGCTATCCTACAATCTTGATATATACCTATACAGAGTCTGTAGGCTGAATCCAGGACAATAGTATTTAACATCTCATACAGTAATCAGTAATCTACTGCGTCACGTGTGGTTGGAGAAGTCCTATTAGTCCTATCCCCCACCAATACCACATCACCCCGCGGCTTACATGGGGACATGGGGACATGGGGACATGGGGAATCAGGACCCTGACATTATGCATGTGCCCCAAGGTATTGGATCGGAGCTTATCATTGGTCTGATCTGGTGACTCGTCCCTTTTCAGCACAGTTCATCCTTCCACAGCTCAGCAGACTTTGCTGTGCTTTATGCGTATCTACTTAGTATGGCTGCCTATCCGTGATATAGATCTACTCCCGTCTGAAACTTGGGATTAGACATCGCCCGAGTCATGCCTCTTGGCCTGATATAATAAAGTTCAGCTTCGCCATGCGCTTGGCCGCTGTCTTTACCTTCGTCTTTTCGTCCGGCCTCGTCCTCAGCCGCACCTTCAAGCAACTCCACGTCGTCGCTCCGGACACTCAACATGTTCTCAGCAGTGGCACGTCCACCCACCATAGACGCCCTCTGCCGGCAGCATTAGCCCATCTGAAAGGAGACGGCTTCCAAACCGGCTTTGTTGCATTTGGCGATTCCTATAGTGCCGGTATTGGTACCGGCTTCAAAGAGAAGGAGGATGACTGTCGCCATGGTCTGGGTGCTCACGGAGAGCTCATCCGCGCCGACCTAGCAGCCAGCCAAGGCGGCCCCAACTCTACAGCCTTCCAATTCCTATCGTGCACCGGCGCCACCACCCAGGAGATATTGTCGGGCGGTCCCGACAGCCAGATGGACGCCTTCAACGCCTCCTCACCCGTGGACTTCGCCCTGCTGTCGGTCGGCGGCAACGACCTGGGCTTCTTCGACGTGATGAACGCGTGCGTGTTCCGGTTCTACAACTTCTACTCGGGCACGTGCGAGACGGCGCTGGCCAACTCGCAGGCGCAGATCGAGGGCGACGAGTTCGAGCAGCGGCTGCAGGTCGTGATAACAGAAATCCTCGACGCCGTGCGCTGGGAGAAGAAGCCGTGGTTCTTCGTCACCGTCACGGGGTACGCGCGCTTCTTCAACGACGTCACCGACGCCTGCGACGGCATGAGCTTCGGCGTCTGGTGGAACGGCCCCAAGCTGAAGAAGGATTTGAGAAGCAAGATGAACGCCATGGTGCTTACGGTCAATGCCAAGATCCGGAAGACGATCGATAAGATCAATTCGAGGTTCACTAAGGATAAGCTGGTGTTCGTGGATTACGACGAGGGGTTCGACGGTCATCGCTTTTGTGAGGAGGGCGTCAAGGAACCGGATTATGGGCGTGCAGATACTTGGTTCTTCCTCGTCGGCGGGCGGGACAACGCGAGGAACGGTACGCAAGCAAGCCATACGTCCGACCTTGAAACTTTATCTCCGACTTCAATTCTGGTGGACCCTTCGTCATGTCTCGAGCCTGCGCGGAAATCAGGAGATTGGGGAGAGCTGGCCTTGTGCTACATGGCGATGGCGAAAGCCCGGGACCCGAGCCTGCAGCTTGCCCGCGGGGATTTGGTCGCGGAGAACTCGATGTGGTATGTTCCGACGTATTACGGGAAGACGTTCCATCCTCGGTCCCTTGGCCATGAGACTATAAGGGATAAGATTTACGAAGTATGGCGCGGTTTAGACGTGGTTTAGAGTGATGTCTTAAGCACCTCAATGCGTAGTTTGCATGGGCTGGAGTTAAGGAATACTTGTTGGTTTGTTAGGAACGTTGGGCGTCATATGCGTGGTTGCCGGTCGTCGGCACGGTATCACGGATAGATGCAGCGCCTCCTCATGCAAGACATGAGGAGATTTTCCATAGCTTGTCAAGATAATCGTCTTGTTTCCTTTCTACATAAGCCTGTCTTCTCCTTTTCAGCGTTCACCTTTCTTCCTGTTGAACTGCTGTTGATACTCACCACTAGTAACGGCAAGTGGTTCAGATACGAATCAGATATATCAATGTAAAGACCACAGATGTTGATGAGGCAGATGTAAGGTTTCCAGCCTTGTACCCGGATATCCCGCTTTCGAGAACGCCACGGTAGGAAAAGTATGCGTGTACCTAACATTTGGGGTGTAACTATTTCGAGTCACAATATTGTAGATCTATTAGATTCGTTGAACTTACATAGGACTAGGTGCACGGTGGACTCCATTATACCTTAGGTACCTAAAGATTAAAGTGAAGTCTGAAAACTTGGAAGAAGAAAAGAAAAAAAGACAGTCCCAGACTTGCAGGGAATCGAACCACTGGACCTCTCGCAAGTTGCTATGTGCAAAGCGAGCGTTCTACCACTGAACTACAAGTTTCTCATTGGTCCTGAATCGATTGAGGGAGGATATCACATAACCCGTATCGAAGGTATTTGAACTAGCCGCTTAATCGAGACGCGGGAATCGCGTATCATAATCTTTGCTGAATTCGAATGATCTGAGTCTTCTCCCCTTTAATTTGCCTGTGTAGAATATTGCGACCCAACTCGCTGGCCCGTGATGATCCTGTCCACCTGCTAGGGGTTCTGGCCTGATAGCTCTGCCCCAAGAATACATGTGCCGAGTCCCCTGACAAAAGGAATCCCCCAAGTATACAAGACTGCCAGTTTATGATATAGCGTATCCTTAGATACGTCGTCCTCATTGTTCTCTCATCCCTGTCCCTTCATTTGCGTCCCCCCCCCACCTTTTTCATTCCCCTCAACCGCATCATCACGAGCCGTACATGAGCCCTCCAATAGTTCTCCCCTTTTCCTCTCCTCAGCCCTTCCTGGGCGTGCTCTCCTCCGCCGTAACCCGATGCAGCGCGAGCCGCGTGGGTATCCCCGGCGAGTTCGCCGCCGCGCCCGCGTGCCAGTCGTAGCCGCTCGCGTACGCGAGGAACGCTCCGTCGCGGCTGAAGGCCGCGGCCGTGAGGGGCGCGCCGACGGACGCGTACCCCTTAAGCCTGGCGTGGGCGACGCGGTCCCAGAAGGCGAAGGAGCCGTCGGACCCGGCCGTCAGGAATACCGAAGGCCGCGTCGGGTGGAACCGGATCGCGTTGACGGCCCATACCTGCGTCGGCTGCTTCTTCTTGTTGTTGTTGTTGTTGTTGTTGCTGTTGTCGGGTGGCGGCGCGGTGCGGTGGCATCGGAATGTGAAGTTGTTCTTGCTGCGCGCGGGGATGCGTTAGGAACGAAGCAAAATTGGTGGTGGATTTGCTGGAAGATAGAGATGGAGGAAGAACATAGGGAAGGTAGGAAAAAGTACCTCGCAAGAGTTTCGTCCACGACGCTAATCCCACACCTCCCCTCTATGCTGGCAGTTCCCCAGCCCTTGCCGTCGGGGAACGCGGCGACGGATCGGGTCTGGGACTTGAAGGGCGTGTCGACGGAGCGCAGAAACACGTCCGGTTTTCTTAGGTCGATCAGGTGCACGTGCTGCGCGGCGGTGCCGACGACGAGCAGGCTCGCCGCGGCGTCCATGGCGTAGACCCGCTCGCGGCAGGCGACGGTGGCGACGGGGTCGCGCTGTCGAAGGTCCCAGTACTTGACGGTCCGGTCCCAGGACCCGGACGCCACGACGGGCGCGCCGGACCCGGGAACGTCGACGAAGCGGACGCAGCGGACGGGTTTCGCGTGCGAGCCGAGAGTGTCGGTCTGGCCGGTGGCGACGTGAAGGATGTGCGTCTTCGCGTCGGCGCCTGCTGCGACGACTAGCGTTCCGTCCTGGTCTCCTCATCAACCCCCCGTATTCCCTGGCCCGCGCAGTATTAGGCCTAACTTACCTAGTTGGATACCAACATTGGTTTTTTTTTCTTATATATGTGTGTGTGGATTTTTTTTGTTTTGTTTTTGTTCTCCTCGAGAGGATCACAGCTACAAGGTTAGGAAAGACTCAAGAACTTACCTTGGCCCAGTCGCAGTCGAGAAGCGGGCCATCGGCGGCGAGGAGGGCGGCCCCGCGGGCGGCGGCGGTGCTGGCGTCGACGTCGTAGATGCGCACCTTGCCGTCCCACGACGCTGCTGCTAAGTGGTGGGCGACGGGTGACCACGACACCGACGAGATGGTGTCTTGGGCGTCATCTGGTAAATTGATGTCCTGGGCTAGAAAGCCTAGGATAGGAGCAGCTGGCTTGGTAGTGGTGCGAGAGTATGCCATCTTTATGAACTGATTTTGTTGATGGAGATAAAAAGTTTAGAGGAATTGATATGACAAAAGTGTTAAATCTTGTTTGGTTGGAGAAGGTAGACACTAACCTAACTATTTATATGCATACGCATGAGCCCTTACGATTGTTCGCGTATGCGGAGCTAGAACATGCGTCAGATCCTTGCTGCCTTAGCCTCGTCGGGTTCCGGAATTCGAGATGATACTGAAACCATCACATGAAAGAGATCGAATGATAGGTGCAATACACAATCTTTAGTACTTTGAATTGAATGAATAAAAGATAATCCATATAATATAATTCATATGGCCAGAAACTAGTTCTATAGCTTGACACTCTTGATCAAGCCGGGCTTGATACCCGTCAGCTCTCCTGCGTAACCGCCACGGCCCTCGGCCTTGTATACCGGCTTCATGCTCTTCAGTTTCTTCTGCTTTTGCTCGTACGCCTTTCTCTTCTTCACTCTAGGGTTCCTCGCGTCCTTGTTCCGCTTCTGCGCGAGACCCTTGTTCTTCTCGATCTGGTAGGTGATCTTACGCTTTCCGTCCTCGCCAATCTCCTCAGTCTGCACCACACGATCCGCTGCGCTAGCCGCCGCGAGGGCTGCCTTCCTGTCTGCCTTTTCTTCCTTCTTCCTGGTCGACCGCGCCGCGATCATGTCGTAGTACTCATCCTCGTCACCCCTGACCGCGTTGGCAACTTGGTTATCCTCTTCATCGCTGCCGTCTCCAAGATCGGCGCCCATTGCGCTCTTCCTGCCGCGTTTCTCAGCCTCGATATTGAGACGGGCTTGTCTGTCCTTAAGGCGTTCTCTATAGGGAATATCCATATCGCCACCAGCATCTCTGCCCGCATCTGCCCGACGATTGGCCTTCTGCACGATCTGCGAGGTGTAAAACCTCAGACTCTTCTTCCGAGCAGCTTTCTCGGCAGCTGCTCTTGCATCGAGGGTTTCTTCCTCGCCAAAGTCCGAATCACTATCGCGTGTCGTGATCTTGACCCCAGCCTTCTTCTTGGGCTTCTTGGTAGAGACCAATGCATCAAGATCGGCAAGCGAATCTTCGATCGCCTTCGCCTTGCGTGCCTCAACCTTAGATTTCGCTTTAGCTTGCTTTGCCTTAGGATCTTTGCCCGGTTTCTTCTCAATATCGGCTTCCATCTCAACCTTCTCTTCGATTGTAGACGGCTCCTCTGGCGGAGATAGCAAGCCGTCGGCCGCCCGCGCCTTAGCGTCAGACGCTTTGTGGTGTTCTACTTTCTTCCACGCATCTCGGCATTCTAGCAGAGTTCCCATGACTTCGTGATCTCGCAGCTCCGCTGGGTCTAATGCCTTTGCCGTTCCGTTTGTAGTATCTCTAGCCGGTGATGTCAGGGTAGCGAAATACATAGCAAGCGTAGCGACATAGCAGCCAAGAATACGGTGTTTTACAACGGCAAGCGATTTTGGTGGTTGACCTTCGGCTTCTTTCTGGATAGTCACAAGCAAAGGCTGCAGTTCTTGAAGTTCGTCCGCCAAGTAGTCGAATTCCGGATACCTCGTCTTGAGCAGACGGTATCTTTCCTCGGGTTCCATATCGGCAGGAATCTCGACGTCCTTGAGAACCTCCGTGACGACCTCGTCTTGATCTGCGTCCTCGGCTTCAGGGCCGAGCCACTCCGCTTCGTCGAATATGAAATCGCTTTCCGACATCTTCGCCAGCTTCTTCTTCTGCAGCCTTCGGGCCTCCTGCTCTTCCTCGACGGCGTCCGCTTCCGTTTCGAGGTTGTCGGCATCGTAATATTCTTTCCTCGAGGAGCCCCACCAGCCAGAATCGCCTTCCTCCTCCTCTCCATCCTCTCCTTCGGAGCCGCCATCGCGGCGAGACTTGGCGGACTTGGTAGGTTTGCGTGCGTTGTCGTCTTGGTTGTCGCTCTCATCGCTGTCAGAGCCCTCGTCGCCATAAGCCAGTGCCTCCTCGTCCGAGTTTTCTAGGAAGGCCTGTTCCTCCTCCTGTCGCTTCTGCTTCTTGGATTTGGGGCCATCATCGAAAAGAATCTGGTCCTTATTTAAGAAGTATTCTTCTTCCGAATCGGCTATGTCTTCGTAGGAATTGATGGGGCCGAGCTTCGCATCGGCAGGATTGTATTCGCGAGGGCCCTTCGGTTCCGAGGGGCCACCGCCAGCCTTTCTTTTCTTGGCCATTTTGTAGATTTTGAGGTATGTAATGTAGGGGTATAAAAATCTGGGTTGAAGAGGCAAGTCTGTCGCCGATTGACGGGTTCGGATATAGGTCAGAACTTTTTTTCTCCCCACATCAGTTACCAGTGGTTTATTGCTTATCGATACCAGTGCTAGCGCGGGCAGGAGCCGTTTTGTGACCCCTGAAAAGTTACCCGCAGGCTCCGGCTCCCGTTGGGTCCGTGTGCAAGGACTAACCACCGGAGGATTTGCGACGCGAATAACTTTAAGAGGAACAGAGCAACCCCTTTTAAAGGAGTGCACACAGACACCAAGGGGGGCCTGATAGCTTCAGCTCATCTCTCTCTTGCAGCTGCGCCGCTCTTTACATAAGCTCTCATAATAGACGCCCTCATGGATTACATCCCCGACTTCTCATGGACTAATCTTGCCATTGCCCTTCTAATCGCCGTGATATCCAGTCTCGCTATGGGTGCCTTCCTGAGCAAGAACCAGCTTCCCGTCGATGGCAAGGTACGTGGACACCAGCACCTAGCTATGGATTCGAGTGCATAAATACCCAAGACATCTAACTTTCCACATTAGACTATCCTGATCACCGGAGCCTCCGAGGGCATGGGCCGGAGCGCGGCGCTGCAGCTAGCCGCCAAAGGCGCCAACGTGATCGTGGTCTCCCGCAGCGCCGACAAGCTTCGGGCCGTCGTATCCGAGTGCGAGGCGGCAGCCCTGAAGCCGGGTGCCCAGCGCTTCACCTTCTTCGCCGCCGACGTGTCGGCGCCGGACTACGCGCCCCCGCTGCTGGCCGACGCCGTGGCCTGGAACGGCGGGCGGCCCCTCGACGTCGTGTGGTGCGCGGCCGGCACGTCGACGCCCGACTTCTGGCTGGAGGTGCCGCTGGCGCAGTCGCGCGCCCAGATGGACGTCAACTACTGGGGCGCGGCGGAGATGGCGCACGCGGTGCTGCGGCAGTGGTGCGCGCCCGCCGCG